ACTATTCATACAAATAATTAACATTTATTTTAAAAGACAATAATGAGAGCACTAAATCATTTAAATCTACACACATGCACATATCAGCATTATATATATATATATATATATATATATATATATATAGTCGGACGTAATATACCATTTTAGCTACGGAGCAGCGTCTGATTATCAAGGTCGATTTTACTGCTTTTAAACTGCAATTTTCCATGATTTCCTTCGAAATTCCATATCAGATCGAAGCTTTTCTTAACGTAAGCAAATGACGTCACACACTACGAAATGGACAAAGTCCGACAATTATGATTTTTTAAAAATATATTTTATTATTTTACGTTATTTATATAGACATAAATATTTAAGTAAATGCTGTTTATAACAATATTAAGATCATTTACCGTCCTGAACGTACGATAAATTTTCATTGAAAATATGCATCCTCCGACAGGAATCGAACCCGTATCCTACACGGAACCATCATATAGACTGAATGTAGTTTAAAAAGCCGTAAAATCTAACTTGCTAACCAGACGCGCCTCTGAGACTAAACTGGTATATCTGTCTATATTTCTGAGATGAGGTGTTCTGTATATGTTACATTATTCGGACTATTGTCCTCATCTTTGTTGTTCAAGGACACATGACACAGTGGATAAAGGCGTTGGTTAGATCCATTGTCAGGACCTAAAGAGTGTGAGTTCAATACCCGGCTGAGGCAGTGGAGAACTTGGAGAGGGGAATTAACAGGAGATAACTGATAACTGACATCCATTAGACATGGCAAGTGGAACTGGAACAGTCTACACCAGCGAGCATTCCAACCGCCCGAAGAAGGCCGGAGCATACAACGTTGTGATAAATATGGCAACAAAGATGAGGGCAATCGTCCGAATAGTGTAAACTGGTATAGTCAGTTAATTTTCTTTCTCTTTTTTAGTCCCGAGCAACGCCATCTTGCGAAAAATATAAGATTTAATTAACTTAAACATAAACAAATACATACACAACTCATTTTTTCGCCTTCGATCCGACGAAGCCTTTTTCGAAACTTTTTACTTTTTTTTGCAATTGTCAATAATTTATAACTCTGTCGGGATCATATACCCAAATTTGTCATATATATATATATATATATATATATATATATATATATATATATATAACCGTTTCGAAGAAAGTGAACTTTGATGAAAGTTTTCATTTTTTTCTTTTTATCGTTAATTTTTTGTCAGTCATTGTATTAGTCAAAATGGCCACTTTCAAGTTCTTTAAAGAAGAGGTTGGGGGATTTACTTCCTTAGTCATTCTGACAGCCTTATTGGTTGCTGGGAAGGGGATGTGCCTGTGTTATGTGTATGTTATCTTTTATTTTTTTAGACTGCGTGTGAGGTGTGTATGAATATATATTTGTGTGAGTATACGTATATAGGAGACCTCATTACATCTGCGAATCTGTCTGTCCAGTGTGAATGAGAGGTCAGTGAAGTCAGCTTGGGCCCTTTAAGGATGGTGTATATTCAACTATGCAGAGATTATAATGTGTGAGAGAGAAATATGGGCGGGGTGGTTGATCTATGGGATTATATATTTCTTCTCTCTGTGCTGTTTAGTTCACTGTTGAATCTGTCCCGACAAAGTGTTTTGATGGCTTTTAAAATCATGTTTTTCAAAGCGGATATGTTGTTCTACAGGTAATAATCTTTCGTGAGGAGCCAACTTAATCCAATTCCGATAATTATTAATTCTGTAGTGAAAGGGCCATTCAGATTTTCCTACATATTGTTTCTGGCATAGTGTGCAATCTAATAAGTAAATTATGTTATGGCTTCTACAATTAGAGTTGTGTTAGATTTTGAAAGTAGCCTTAGTGACTGAGCTAGTGAACGAATTGGTGTGTCTAATGTGGTTACAACATAGGCTCCTTTCCTTGTTACATGGTTGGGAAAATCCTATTGCGTTTATTCTTGATAGATTGCGTCTTACTTTATTGTCTGAAATTTGGTTACGGTGGAGGAATCGACAGCGGCTCGGATTGAGAAATCAGAGAGCCGGGTTCGAATTCCATTCGAATCCATTACATTCACTTTCGTGCTAATATCCTTGGGAAAGGTATGAATCCTCTTCTTCTCCCCCCCCCCCTAGCCATGGGTAAATAGCAGAACAGACAGGGTTCAATAGCCTAGGATGGTAACTGGTTTACTGCAGAGAGAAATGGCAACCTACTACAGGAAAAAATTCCGGGTTCCTGAAACAAAGTTTTTAAGTATAGTTTGAAATCTAGTATTTCCCAGCAACTTTAGATTATCTGAGATAGCTGCGATAGAGTAGTATTGAAAGTGCTTATTAGTGGTTAATACATACATATATATATATATATATATATATATATATATATATATATAGGCAGGATGTATGTAAGTGTAAATTTTCGACGGATTTGCACCAAAATGTACATGCACAGGCTCCAAGTTAGCGGGAAGGCCAAGACCGACTTTGCATTTCGCAACTCTCATCGATAGTGGAAATAATCGTTTTTTCATGCTTCTACGGCAGTTTTCATGTAGTTTGCGGCCATTTTGTACTGGCCAGAGTGAGAGCCTATAGCTGGCTGCCACGAATAGGCAGGAAGATTCTATTCGCCAGCGTGAGAGCCAATAGCTGACTGGCACGAATGTGAACTAACATGCAAAACAAATCGATAGCTGCATTCGTCACATGTGGGAAAAATTTAAATCTGCATGGCACTTTACTCCAGTTGGCTCATTCGCTTGCTTAAACTCGACGTTGATTCGGATTCCGCAGAACTGGGTTGGCTGTGAAAAAGTATTTGTTGTTAACATTCTTTTTTCATTCGGTTTTTCCAGTTACGAGTCCTTTTTTTAAAGCTGATTGTTTTGTGTTCATTTTGTTTAGTTCTTTTTTCATAACAGATTTAATGTTTAGTATAGAGCTTAGAAAAAATTCGCAGTGTGAGATAGGCAAGAAGTAAGGCATGTAGCAATATCAGCACGGCAAAGGGCATTCCTTTAAAAGCAAGGAAGGGCAAAAATATTTTAAGTCAATTGATAGCGATTGTTGTATGAGTCGTACGATTTTTGAATCAAGCACGGGCAACGCCGGGCCATGCTGCTAGTAGTAAAGATAATAAATCTGTTTGTATGTGATCCAAGCGGATCCTATTAATTTAAAATATTACAACTGAGCCACAAAATGATCTCAATGTATATGTTATTACAGAGCAATATAATTAATATACAATAAAATCCAAAATAAATATTTGGGATTTTATCGTTTAATTAAATTAATATATATATATATATATATATATATATATATATATATATATATATATATATATTCTGTTGGGGTTTCTTCTAGACTCGATGAATTATATATATATATATATATATATATATATATATATATATATCATCTCAAACCCTCCTAATAATTTCTATCAATTGTATATCCTTGCTGGAACCGGCTTCTAATGTTCTGGAAGAAGCGGCTCGTGGGGACACAGTCCTATGGGTAAAAGAGATACTCGGATGAGTTCCACCACGGAATAAGTAATCAAGCGGCGCTGTATCGAGTCTAATTTGCTACCTCTTCGTTGGTACAGTTGGTATGGCGTTTGCCTGATAACGTAACTCTCCGGGTTTCTATTCTTGGTTGTGGATGCGCACTGCTGATGAGTCCCAAATATAGAACGAAAAAACGGCTGTTCATTGCTTTCTTCATTCTGCTGAGGTTTCTTCTAGACTTTATATATATATATATATATATATATATATATATATATATATATAGGCATATTGTGAGTGTGTGTGTGCTGTATAAGCATATTACCATTTAGTTACAGTGGAAAATGAGAATTGATCTGATCGATAACTCTCCTATTTGAAGAAACGACAAAAATCCTTCCGATATTTAGTTGTTGCCTATTTTCAAAGATGGCGTTAAAATGTTTTTGATACAAAGAAGAAATAAAAATAAAAAATAAAAAAATGGCGTTTCTTGATTTTGGGAAGAGGTCCGCGTCGAAAGCTTTTCAGCTGCTCCTAATGTCGTATTTTTTTTTCTGTTTGGGATGAGGTGTAAACGAATTGTTTTAATAGAGAGATTTTACGATTGTAAATCGAACGCAGCACTAGGTGCTCGGCGAATGAATGTCTAACGTAGAAGAGACTCCTGCGGGTATGCTTCCTTGATGACTTCACTCGTAACCTCTTCAAGTCGACGGTTAAATGTTATCTGTTCTACATTTCCTCATAATATCCAACCATTCTTCGCTTCCTATACGTCCTTACAGCATCCCCATTTAATATCCCTCTACCTTGAGTGGCACTTAGGTCTTCCATGAGGTCTTTGCATTCCATAAAATTATGGCGAAAGATACCTTCCAAAACGATAAGGGCAATATTAAGAACAGGAAAATTTCATTAGAAGCAAGCGAAAGCATATTGAATTACAATGTAATAGCAGTCCAAAGTCTATTTCAACTCTAGACTTCTAATGTCTCTGCCTGAACTCTGAAATTTTATTCGCTAATTAAATCCTGACCTTCTCAAGTCTACAATTAGCTGTCTATCTTACATGTAATCTTGCTCTTTCTTACGCTAATACGACTCCACAAAGCAATCCTCTGCCCTGAGAGGCCCCCAGGCCTTGTATTGTGTGAAAATTAGTAAAAATAAAATAAAAAGTAAGGTGGTATGAGCATAACGCCAGGAATTGTAGTAGCAGTATTCGATGTTCAGAAGAGCGCTGGGTTGAGCTCAGATCTTTAAAGCCAAGGCCAGCCTTGCTATGTCCACAGGCTTGACTTACCCTCATTTCCTGCGTATCACATTGATAAGAAAGACGTTCCACAGTGAAAGCCTCTTGCCAAGACCCGTTACTTTCCATGCGAATGACACCCCGAATCCTACAATCTTAACGAGACAGAAAGAATGGGGAAAGGAAGAAAACCACAAAGAAAGATCTGAATATTGGCAGGCTTACGGCCATATCACGTTGAAATCACAGTTCTCGTATGATTCCCGAAGTTAAGCAACGTTGAGTCTGGTCATTATCTAGATAGGTGACCACTTGGAAATACCCGATGCTGTAAGCTTGGTTGTACGGGTGGTGTAAAGGATAATGGCTCAGGATTGGAAATCGGAGAGCTGAGTTCCAATTCCAATCGGGTTCGTTATATTTATCTACTTGTGGGAAAGGTATGAATTCGTTTCTTCTATCGCCCCAACTATGGGTTAAATAGTAGAACTTTCATCAATAAATCATTATTTTTTTTTAAAATTCTTATAATCTAAAAATATTTTCTGGCTTTAAATAACCTGCAAAAAGTTGATAACCCGTAAAAAACAAATACTTTTTTTTCTTTTCTCTTTTCTTTTTCTTCAGTATCTCTCTTTATTTCTTTCTCTCTCTTTCTCTCTCTCTCTCTCTCTTTCTCTCTCTCCCTTTCTCTTTCTCCCTTTCTCTCTCTCTTTCTCTCTCTCCCTTTCTCTCTCTCTTTCTCTCTCTTTCTTTCTCTTTATGTTCTACTTTCTTCCTGTTTCTTCTTTTATCTCTTTGCCTCCTCTTTTTTTCTTTTCTTTTCTAGTACCCTTATTTATTTCTTGGTCAGTCTTGCCCTCAAATCTCTTTTATCGTCATTTCTTTCCCCGCCCCCACCCCGCGAAATTTACGTCGCTCATATCTCTTCGAAATAGTCAGACCTCACCCCGACCCCCGTTTTCACGTGCCTATTTGAACCTCCCCACTCTATCCAGTCTAACCCCTTACCAAGCTAATCAATTTGCCTCGGAGAACCGGTCGTCTCTCAGAACCCACCCAGACGGTTGGCTAAGAATTACAGTAACAGGCTTACCAATGGCCGTCTTCCCTCCAATTCCGTTATTGGGCCTTCTGTTGGCCTTTTCCAATTGTTATTCTAATATTATTCGGTTCCGTCTTCATTGTAATTCCGAGATAGTCTTGTTCCGTGCGTTTTGTTCTATTAAACGCCTAAGCACTAATGCTTTCCACTTTCTTAGACTATTCTCATTCCATTTATTATTCCAGTCTCTTTCCATTTCTTCTTCTTCTTCTTCTTCTTCTTCTTCTTCTTCTTCTTCTTTCCTTTTTCTTCTTCATCATCATCACCTTCTTCTTTCTCTTCTTCATCATATTCTTCTTCTTCTTCTACACCTTCTTCATCATCATCATCTTCAAATTCTTCTACTGCTTCTTCTTCTTCATCATCATCATCTTCTACATTAGCTTCTTTTTTTCCCTTTGATCATCTTCTCCTTCTTCTTTTTCTTCTTCTTCTTCCTGATCCTTATCATCATCATCACCATCTTCTTCTTCTACTGTTTCTTCTTCTTCTTCTTCTTCTTCTTCTTCTACATCGTTATCTTCTTTTCTTCTCCTTAATCATCATTGTCTTCTTCGTATTCATCATCTTCTTCTTCCTCTTTTTTCTTCTTCTACTCCTTCTTCCTGATCATCTTCTTTTTCTTCTTCATCAGCAGCATCGTCATCATCTTCATCATCGTCATCATCATCATCATAGTTTCTTCAATTTCTTCAGAATTTTCTTCCATTCCTTCCTGTTCTTGTTCTTCTTCTTTTTCTTCATCATCATTATCATCATCATCATCATCTTCTTTTTCTTCTTTATTTCGATTTTATTTTTTGTTACCTTGTACTGCATCTATTTTTTACATCGTCTTCCATACCATCTTCTTCTTTTTCTTATTCTTTTTCTTTTTCTTTTTCTTCTACTCCGTCATCATCATCATTGATGTTGACATCATCATTATGGTCATCATCGTTCCTTCAATTTTTTCATAATCTTTTTCCATTCCATACTGTTCTTGTTCATCATCATCATTAGTTTCTTCTTCTTCTTCTTCTTCTTCTTCTTCTTCTTCTTCTTCTTCTTCTTCTTCTTCTTCTTCTTCTGTCCGCCCCTTTTATTCTTATTTATCATTAAACTCTTGTTGAATGTCATCGTCTGCCTTTTCTTTCTGTTCATCTTACTCTCTATCGAAGAGGGAGAAAAAAAAGAAGAAAGAGAATATGTTGCAAATATTTTACTAGCTCTGCCTGAAAAGAGTCCTTACATGTTGTGCGTGAATTCTGTCCCAAAATAGCTGTCACATTTGTAAATAGAAACAAATGATAAACTCAATGTCAGTGAAATACTTTATTAATTCATTGCCTGAAGGCATTAATTTTGTGAAACATTTAAATGATTTACATTTAAGCGGTTATTTGTCATTTAAAATGGCGTCAGAGTCGCACTGAAATTTGTTTGCCAGTCGCTTTTATCGTTGAAGTTTGTTTTCATTCGAAAGGTTTATTTTTATTTTCCTTTTTCATTTTTCGTTTCTTATTTCTCTTTCATTTTACGTTCTCACTTCATTTATTTCTTGTTTAGTTCTTATTTTTTCTTTCTTTCTTTTCTTTTCATTTTTCGTCTGTTTCTTTCTTTTTTCTTCTTTCATGCTTTCTTTTGTCTTTCTCTCTCTATTCTTTTTTCTTTTTTTACGAAGTAAAGAAAGATCTTTACTTCATTTTTCTTTCGTTTTCCTTATTTTTTCTTTCTTTCTTTATTATTCTTCCTTTTTTTTCTCTCTTTCTTTCTTTTTTGTTTACTTTTTCTTTCTTTCTGAGTCTTTCACTTTTTCTTTTGTCTTCTTTTTCAGTCTGGAACGCAAATTTCTTTCTTTCTTTCTTTGTGTTTTTTTTCGAAGTCTCTTTCATTTAACTTGTTCTAATTTTTCTTTCTTTCTTCTTTTTCATTGTCTTTTCTATCTTCGTTTGTTTTTCTCTTCTCACTCTCTTTCTTTATTTATCTTTCTTTCTATGTTCATTCATCTTTCTTTTTTTTTCTTACTTCTCTTTCTTTCTTTCCTTTTTAGTCTTTTTCGTTCTTCCTCTCATTTTTCATTTACCTCTTTTTTTCTGTTTTTTTTTCGAAGCTTGTTTCTTATTTACCTCGTTTTTTTCTTTCTTTCTTCTTTTACATTCATTTTATATTTTTCTTCCTTTGTTTTTTCCTTCAATCTCTCTTTCTTCATTCATCTTTTCGTTTATCTATCTTCATTCATCTTTCTTTTTTCTTACTTTCTTTCACTTTTTCTTTGTCTTTTTCTTTCTTCCGCTCTTTCTTCATTTACCTCGTTTTTCTTTCTTTTTAATTCTATCATTTCCTTTCCTTCTTTCTTTCTTTCTTTCTTTCTTTCTTTCTTTCTGTTTTTTCGGAGTCTCTTCTTTATTTAACTCGTTTTTATTTTTCTTTCTTCTCTTTCATTGTCCTTCTATCTTCGTTTTTTTCTCTACTCACTCTCTTTCTTCAGTCATCTTTCTTTCTATGTTCACACACCTTTCTTTTTTCTTACTTATCTTTCTTTCTTTCTTTTTTGTCTTTCTCGTTTTTCCTCTCTTTCTTCATTTACCTCATTTTTCTTTCTTCTTTTTTTCTGTTTTTTTTTTCGAAACTTTTTCCTTATTTACCTCGTTTTTTTCTTTCTTCTTTTTCATTCTCTTTTATATCTCTCTTCGTTTGATTTTCTTTCTACCTCTCTTTCTTCATTCATCTTTTCGCTTTTCTATCTTCTATCTTCATTCATCTTTCTTTTTCTTACTTTCTTTCACTTTTTCGTCGTCTCTTTTTTCATTTACCTCGTTTCTCTTTCTTTTTCTTTCCTTCTTTTTTCTTCCTTTCCTTCTTTTTTCTTTCTTCCCTTCTTTCTTTCTTTCTTTTCCTTAGTAACGCTCTCTGTTCATAGGCTCTAAGCTCCCTCTCTTTTTCGAATCTCATTAGGCCTACCCTACTTACGTCCCTCACTCCAGCGCCACTCGACCATCATTCCGGCTTCAGGTCCGTGCCGTTGTGCATGAACGATTGGAACCCGGTCGTTTCGCAGACCACTCAGCTTCTCGATGGCGATCAGCTGGAGGCATCAGCAAAATGTCCAATTCAGCGGGTGAAGAGTGAAAACGAAGCCGAAACGAAACTCAGGAAAGAAGGCCGTTTCGAAATTTGCTTTGATATTATTCACTTTCATAAAGAGATGTAACTCTCTCTCTCTTTCTCTCTCTCTCTCTCTTTCTCCCCCTGGTGCATGTGTGTATGTGTGTGTGCGTGAAAGAGAGAGTGTATATTTGTTAGTGTGTGTGCGTGTGAAACTAGTTAGAGTATCACAAATTTTAAGATCGATACATAGATACGAATGAACTGGGATAGATAGATATATAGATAGATAATGAACTATCTACAAGTCTGTTCATATCTATCGACCGATATATATATATATATATATATATAGACAGATATAGATAGATATAGATAGATAGATGAATGAATGAATAATGAACAATCTATAAGTATGTTCATATCTATCGACCATTATATATATATATATATATATATATATATATATATATATATATATATAGAGAGAGAGAGAGAGAGACAGATAGATAGATATAGATAGATAGATAATGAACTATCTATCAAGTCTGTTCATGTCTGTCGACCGATATATATATATATATATATATATATATATATATATATATAGAGAGAGAGAGAGAGAGAGAAAGAGATAGATAGATAGATGGATGAGATGAATATGAATAAACTGAAATAGAAAGATATGTATAGACTAAGATAGATAGATAGATCGATAGATGAATAGGAACAGATTGAGATAGATAGATAGATAGATAGATAGATAGATAGATAGATGAATGAATAGATAGGAACAGATTGAGATAAAATAATAGATAGATATAGATGAATAGATGAAGAAAGAAAGAAAGAAAGAAAGAATGAATGAATAATTAAATTGGTTGTATTATGTTTTGTATAATATGATTAATTTAATTTTTTTTATTGTGATCCATGGGAGATATATTGGTAGTAGTGAGTTTTTTTTTTTATGTGATTTTCTCATCCTGTTTATAGTTAGCATGCATCTGGTTACAATATAAGAGTTTGATATATTTAGGCTACTTTGAGGAAGTACCATGTTCTATTTGATGTGTGTTGAGGTTTTTGACAAATCGTCTTATTTGTTCATCTACAATGTCGTTTGGGAAGTCATTATTATTA